ACTGATTACCACTAAAAACGAATTTTCGGTCAAAACAATTGTTTTGACCTTCTTGGGTTTGCTTATTGGGTTGTCCGGGGTCCGTAGCGTCAACGATACGTCATCGCTGTCACTCGAAAAAGTCAAAAAAAATTTTCGCTCAAAACTTGCTCCTAGGGGTAATCGACAGTCCTGATCACGATTCTAGACTTTATTTTCGGTTCCAGTGCCATCTGGCACCGGCATAGCGCCGAAGAGCTGAGTCTGTGCATACTAACGAATTCGAACGAAAAAGCAGTTTTGCTCCATAAAAGTAGGATTGTTCAGTTTATCGTGAATGTTTTTGTTAGGACCAATTATTTAGACAAACATGGATCCAAAAAATGAAAAATTGTAGAAAAGCAAAATTTTGTCCTCGGTGGGATCCGAACCATCGACCTATTTTTTACGTTTTTTTATTCGTAGAAGCGCGCAGCGAAAATGAACCTCAGTTTTCTGGTCCTCGTATGTGCCCCTACAATATGCACAAGACCATTTTGAAAAAGCTCACCACGCCCTGAACGACCTCCCTTGTGAGACTTCAACTATCCTCACATAGCGCTCCTTCACCTTATAGGCAATGTGTTGATCAATTTCACATGAACATTTAACTTTAAAATGGTATACCTCGATGTTTTCGGAGCCAAACTCATGGGAAGCCCGTTCCTCTGTTGATCCTACAGTACCTAACTCCAGTGGTGTGAACACGGTAGTAGGCACGTTATCGTAATTCATAGTTTGACTAGCACCAGCGAAAATACGACGAGCTAGCAATTGGCCAGCGCGAATGGCAGTCGGAGTCAATTCTGGTCGACCCTAGAAATCACAAGTGTAGAAATTTTACTAAAAAATAATTCAAGAGGTCGCTCTTCGCTTCGAGAGCGGGGTATGCGGGCGGGAGGGGAGGGGTAGCGGGTAGCTTCCTCCAGCTTCCTCCCTTTGGGAAGACCTGTGAACTCTCGCGAAGCTGCGCAACAGAACAAGCTTCTCCGATGTGGTTTAATGTCCTCTTGCCATACGAAATGGTACGAAATCTTTAAAAAATACACTACACAACTTAAACAAGAAGATAAAGCCAAAGACTGGTCTGAATATGCTCTGCACTGGCAAACCATTTGGGCTAGGCTTTCAAAGCAGTTTACAGGGCTCCACCTTGGACTTGAGATAGGGCCAAAATGGCTCCTCCACAGCCATATGCCCCGAGAAAAATACCAGAAACATGCCAATATCAGAGTTCGCCAGAACCATTCACGCGACTAAAAGATAGACGGAGAAAGAAGTCACAGCGCTTTCTCATCCGCAACCGAAGGACATAATGGTAATGCCTGATTCCTCCGCATATGTGCTAGCTGAATGTCATTTCGAACCTGTATTACTCACTCGGATCCTAACGTCTCCGATAGCGTAGACATTCTCTGCAGACGTTCGATCATCCTTCCCCACTACAATTCGACTTGTTGAATCGTCGGTTTTCACACCAGCGGCGGATAAATTCAGGGAACCATGTGAGGATCACGCCGTGAAAATAAAGTAAGACTTATCACAATTAAAAAAAGTGAGTTTCATTAAACAATGTAATGTTATCCACTTGAGGTCATCAGTAAGATTACTGGAATACTAAATCGTATACCCTATTTCTGGGGTATAAGGCACACTCATACAGTCCTCATCATTGCGGACCGGTGAGGTTGTTCAGTGCTCCGTCTTCCGCGGTGATGAAGTCGTTCTGCACCAGTTGTTGAAGCGGGCAAGTGACATTACTGTATTATATCCTTCGTATTACTCGTTTTCTACCACTTTTTGTCGCATACGCGTTTCAACAAAAAAGGCTGAGAACGGCTTCAACAGTGTGCGCACTCCTACTGGCTGACACGCCCCACCGGTCCGCAATGATGAGGACTGTAATACAAACCCCTGAGATGGGTAGGCGTGGCTGCGTACTTCAGCTAAACGTGGCGGTGGCTGTGCTTTCGGAGAGATATTTCCGTTTTGACATAATTGTGGTCATTGTCTCGTTCAACACTGAAAGGATGACAGTTGTCTCAGACTGAAATATCCCACGAGTACGCCTATTCCGTCTCAGGTATAAGGGGTATAAGGTGCGCTTCCCACTACTGCCGCAAATGCTTCGAGGGAGAAGAAAAATGATTTTGTTGGTGTCATGTCTTCAAACTGCGGAGAGCTAGCTTTACTCCCCGAAAAAACCGTACTGTTCTCTCAAAAGTCATTCTTATGTCATTGGATTACCTAGGGTTTCAATTCTACTCAGTGCTTTGATTCATACCCTTAATTTCAGTGAACTAGTCGGATAACACTAATGAACAGAAAGTGTACAGGAACGAGCTAGATTACAGGGATTTGCAAAAAAAAAAGTGCCAAAAAACTGCCAACAAATAGACAAAGTGGTTGGATCTGGAAACTCTTCGCGCGCGTTGTCGCGTTTGCCACCGTGACTTTGCAGATGAATGCACCTTACACCCCACAAAATAAGGTATTAACTATTAGCATGCACAAAAAGCCATTTATTCACACGTACCCATAGCCCAGACAATGGTGTCATAAACCTGATCGGATGAGTTCTGCCCGCCGGGATAGTTGCTGAACGACACCTAAAACTTACATGTTACTACAATGCGCTTCGAAAGCATAAGGAATCACTTGGAAGCGGCCTAAGGGGCCTGAGTTAGGATAGACTCCATGGCTTGGCACCAGGTTTATCGAACTGAGCGTCTCTGAAGCTACAGTCCACTTGCTTTCAGAGAGCGATACGAGCTATACACATCCCAATAAGTACATAGTTTTGAGAATTTCCACCGTTTCAGAAGTATAAGGGACACCGAGTATGGAGACTTTGAGGGCAGCATTTCCCCTTCGTTCCAGTTCGTTTGCGATGTTGTGGTCATATATTGTGAAGGCACATTGGTCTCTCAACATAACACTTATTGACGATCTAAACTAACTTCCCAGGAGTAAGCTCGTGGAAGGGTAAATAATGCCACCTACCCAAATGCTCTAATAATTTTGAAACTGTGGAAATTTTCAAAGTTCCTTGGTAGAATGTATTTAGCTCATCATCAGTTATGATGGAACATGAAACACGTGAAAGAGGCGCCAAAAAATTTATTGCAAAAAACTCAAAAGACTCAAAAGAATCCAAAAGTTCTTGCAAAAATTTTTGTTTCTAATACTTCCTTCGAATATTTCGGTGCCTAGCACCTTCCTCAGCGATCTGAAATACTATAGTTAGTCGTCTGCAACCGAATCCCGGATCTTGTCTTCAGTGGTGCCCGAACTGGACTCTGACCTGGTCTTCTGCCTCCAATATAGCCTCCGCCGCTCCTTGCAAAAGTGCGACTTCTAGTGTTGACTGCGACCCTACCCGTCATCCTCCCTTAAATAGTGAGGATGACTGGTGAGCGTCTCTGCATATGATATCACTGACCGCTCAACCATTATCATTACCGTAGTCAGTGAATCAACTGCAGCGCATCACCGCTTTTCTTCATAATGGCCTGGCAGCTTCGTTTATGTATTTTTTAGATTTTGGCGGTGGACGAAATATGAGCCTGTTATGGGCGAGTGTGAGCTTTTGGACTCTACTGTTAACTTTAATTCGGTCAAAAGCTCATCACCCCCATTACAGGCTCATATTTCGTCCACCGCCTATAATCTAAAAAGACTAATCAACGTACTCAGGCCTTTGAAGAAAATGGCGGGACTCGAGGGAGCTGCACCTTACTGTAATGATAGAAAAATATGCCAACTCCGAGGAACGGTGTATTTGATAGAATGCCAGGGATGCGGGCAAAAATATATCGGAGAGACAAAAAGGCCACTCTTCAAACGATTAGATGAACACCGCAGGGCCCTAAACAATCCAGCTTCATACCCGGATAACAGTCTCTCGAAGCACCGCACCACCATGCATATACACGAAGGTCCTCCGGCAATCACCATTACAGTATTACACCGTTCCATAGAAAATACAGTGGAAAGAAAACTATTAGAAGCACTGGAAATAAAAAGGCTCTCTCCGGAAATGAATAGTAGGGATGAGCTACGTGACGCGCTGCAGTTGATTCACTGACTACGTGATAATGGTTGAGCGGTCAGTGATATCATATGCAGAGACGCTCACCAGTCATCCTCACTATTTAAGGGAGGATGACGGGTAGGGTCGCAGTCAACACTAGAAGTCGCACTTTTGCAAGGAGCGGCGGAGGCTATATTGGAGGCAGAAGACCAGGTCAGAGTCCAGTTCGGGCACCACTGAAGACAAGATCCGGGATTCGGGTTGCAGAGGCGACTATACTTATTAGTATTTCAGATCGCTGAGGAAGGTGCTAGGCACCGAAATATTCGAAGGAAGTATTAGAAACAAAAATTTTTGCAAGAACTTTTGGATTCTTTTGAGTCTTTTGAGTTTTTTGCAATAAATTTTTTGGCGCCTCTTTCACGTGTTTCATGTTCAGATTACAATGAGGCTCCGGGACAGCACCATATTACGATATTAGCTCATGTTGTTAAACGGACACGCTCAGAGCACGCTGAGTCCAAGCGGTAAGCCCTGAACCTTCACCATAACTCAGAATAGCAGTTTTTAGAGGGCTCTTACAGTTCTGAAGCGTACTGTTTCACTCAGAAAAATGTCCTGTTTGATACCTATTCAGTAACCCATAGGAATCCATGGACCACCTTTACCGAGATCAGTATCGTGGAAGATATACTCTGCTTTACGGCGGATGAAGGGCCTTGTCAGGCAGTATGAGTGTACGGCGCCAAACCCGTTCTCTGCCAGTTGCTGGAGCAGGTATGCGACAACAGTTGGTAGAAAACGAATGATACGAATAATAAGATACAGTCTTGTCACTTGCTCGCTTTAACAACTGATGGAGAGCGAGTTTGGTTCCGCGCCGTACCATCGCGTCTGACACGCCCCTTCGTCCACAGCGAACTAGACTTGGGCGATAAACCGCTCCGATCTACAGTAATCTCACCTTTTTCTTGTCACCAACCGACTGAACGCTTTCAACTTCTTTTCCGTAGATAAAGTTGATGCCTTGTTGTTGCATATTCTCCACTACTAACTTTACGCAGTCCTGAAAGATTCCTGGGATTTTCTCCAATCGTAAGAAATGTAGCATGAGGAAGTGAATAATAGGCTTTTCGGCTCTGATTAATAGCTTCGGATCGCGCCATGCATTCAATTTCCACTAGTAGTCTAATTCCCTAATTGCCGCTTTCTTACTGCACATTCACTAATATCCGCATACTTTCAAGGTAGTCAGTCATTTCGATATGAACTGACATTTAGAGAATGAAACAATTACTTGTTCGTGGCCATTATAAGCGCAAGACTGTTACAAACATTAAGCTAAGCCTCTGGCTATGGCGCCATGTCTGTGAAAGGAGATCAAGGAGGGGGAGAAGTAACGACTGAGGTTAGCAGGGGCCTACTAGAAATAATTTTGCAATACATCTTCATGAGCTAAATACACATCCCACTCTCGTCGTATAGGCGGAGCTGAGAATGCCATCGCGCCCCCTCATCCTGATAGAAGAGGCGGATGTATGCGAGAGCCACTGTAGGCCCGATCCCGCCTACACAACAAGAGTGGAATCTACCTTTCAAACACTGCCAGTGAGCTGAGTAACCCAAATAAGGATGGAGTGAGTAACATAATACTCATCAGATTCCCATCTTTCTTGCTCCAATCATGCAAGGTACAAGTTAATCAAGGAGGGTTTAGTAAGTTTCGGACGACTTAGCCTGTTCACGTGTGAAGAAAACTTCCTACACTGTCCCGTTTCCCCTTGCAATTGAACTTTGATGAGAAACCTCTGGCAATGTAACACACCTGATCGAACGACTTCAGCGGCTTTGACCGAATGAGCAAATCGACCGGAAAGCCAACACCAGCGAGCAACCCTGCACATTCTAGCGCAACATAACTGCCACCGACAACCAGTGTCTTCCCAGGTGACCTCGGTAGCGAAAACAGATCATCAGATGTGATTCCTGAACCAGATTTTGATACTTAGAGTCGAGTTCCCAGTAGGGAAGGTGAGGGCTGATACAGCCAAAACATACCATACTCAGAGCCAGGAATACTGGGATACCGTGGACGAAGACCAGTCGCAATGACAATATTTTTCGCACGCAGAATGCTCTAAAGAAACCCATTGTGAAAGACTATCAACAAAAAACTAGGTTTGCGACGAGAACGGGAGACCGTGAGATAATGGGCCGTTTTTCTGTTCTAGCACTTCGGTATAACAATTCTGCACAAACTTTTATTGCTCTTTAAGGATACGCAAAACTGTCTTGCATGCCTGAACTTTTCGAATTGCGCACCAGGACCAGCATACCAAGGCGAGATGCTGCGCTTGGCTGTATGCATGCAGTAGCTTCCGCGACCAGTAACCCATCGTTTAATAGGAGCTTAAGTAGACAGCCATCAAGACTTAGCCACGTCCATTTTGATAGTTTGGTGCTCTAAGAGGCTGCCCTCATTTTTTTTGCAGCAGCGTCCAGCAGCGCTCCGAGGCGTTCGGCAGTCCGTCAGCGGACGTATAACTATATCTGGCGTCTGGCCACGCGTTCTACCAGCGACAACAACGTCGGGGTAGGAGAATATGGCGATAGAAAGCGGTAGCAGACAGCGCTGGTAGAATTTGGCCGAGGATAGGAGGGTAGCAGACTGCTGGTACCATGTATCGCCCCAAAGCTTCTCTACCCCAGCAGTGCTGCAAACTCGGGTCGCTGGCATACGCCATTGTACACTTCTCTAGTGCTGACGCTGCCGGACGCTCGCCAACGCAGCCTAAGGCTGAGCTTGAAGTAAGAAGGACCACTCTTTCGGTGAAAAGGAGCAAGCAAGCAGATATAGTCCCGCCGTGTGTCCCTTATCCCCAATTACCTCATTTCTGCCCATTCCACTGAAACATTCGCAAAAAGGTTAATTATAACAACGAAAATTAAGCACTGATACAGTACTGATGGCATTGCTGGGACGTTATAGCTGCTACAGCTGCTTAAGGGTCAATGCCTGCGTCAAAGTTGGATAGGCTGGTGTGATTGACTGCATTCGGTGCAGCTATTACCCCCTTCCCTCCCGCCCCAGACGAGTGGGCATGTGAAGTGGCAGAGATGAAAGCGCAGGCAAGGCGACCTCCCCTACCAATCGTTGCCGGTCTCGCCTCAGGATACTTGTCAAAGCGAAGCTTCTATCCTCTTTCCTTCCTCCTTTTTTCTCCCTCTTTCTTCTCTCTCCCTATTCCCTTTCCTTCTCCCTTCCACTGCTGAGCCAGTAAACGCGATGAGAAAATACCTCTGGACCCTCGCAGCGAGAGCATGTTCGATTGACAACAGCCGCGTAATCTTGCCGGTTAGGATGGCTCAGTTGGTGAAACAAGCCACAACAGCAGCGCTCCACACCCTTTCGTTTGTGCGCCGTAAACTTATGAGGCATTTACAAGGGTACCCTCTAGTGACCAACAGTAAAAACTCCTTCACCTCCGTTTTCCTGTTGTCAGCAGATATTGTTTTGATAGTGTGACTGTCGATAAATGATGCAAAGGCCGTGTAGAGTTTCACACCCTCTGAAAATAATGCAGATGAGTGACCACACAAGAAGAAACGCTTTCGAAATTTCAAGGTAAGCGCTATACACTTTTCATTCAGCTGAACACGATAAATCCAGTTGTTTGCCTTAATCCGATCGCTGACCACCTGGACCAACGTTTGCCTAGAAGTACTACTTTTGAAGCATCAAAAAGCTGCAGGGTAACCGACTTACCAAGAATGCTGGCCTTTTTTGACGTCTTGCCATCCATACATTGAAGCATGTTGCACCTTGAGAAGTCACATAAGATGATAAAAAAACAAAAAAGTAACTATTGGGCTTCCATTAGTAACAAGCTCAGTGGGATTCCATCAAGAGCGCCATGCATTCGTTTCTAATTCAAAATCCTAGAGGCGTATGAATGTGCATCCGCTCTCGTACACTGTTGGACGTGCCGAGCTGAGGGAGCAGCCAGCTTTCTAACCAGTCTTTCTGTACTCTATCAAAAGTCTTTCGATAGAGTGAAAAGAATAATTGGTCATCGCCGGTCTAGGTTCCCGAAAAAAAGTGAAGTTACACTTTCTGGCCATCGCGCATCTTCAGAGCATGACAAGATTCAGTACTTGCACCGTTTCCAGACAAGAATGACTCGAACGCCCGACAGTAAACCAGAGACCATATCTGTAAACTCAGGAACGTCCAAGGAGTTCATAATATATTCATAACGCCTTCTAAAATTTTGAAAATCTTTTCATGTGCACTACATAACTCGTGTCCGCGAAAATGTCCTCGTGTCAAGAAGGTCAAACTATGACACGCGCGAATCGTCAAACAACGTCATATGTCTCCAAACCGGGCTGCTGGTCCTTATCACTGATCTTTGATGAGACCTTGATTATCACCTCTGTCTGGTGCTAGCTGATCAATGCACCACTTCCAGAAATGTTCAAATCATGCTTTGGAAGGAAACCGTGCTACAGACACCATTGCGTTCAGGTTCAGTTCCCAAAGGGAGATATCATAGAAGCAGAAAGCTACTTGGTTTAACACAATGCTCCGCCGCTCGTTTGCAGACGCTAGTCATTGTGGTTGCTATTAACACAAAGCAGTTCCTCGTCCTATCTGCCCGGTTCATCTGGTGGATCTCCAGCACTCTCATTTGCTCCCAGACAATATCCCTGGAAAGAACAGCCCAAGCAGTCTCGAAGCAGAGCAAGTCATAAGCTGAAGATTCCTCAATGTGAGGAGGGGGCATATTCGGCCAGGTCAGATTTCTTTGATTGCTGACAGTTCCTATTTCAGCCGCTCTGTGTCCACACTTGCCGCTGGTATCTTAGTTTTATTACTTGATGCCTGGTAGTTAATCGAATGTCTAGCGGCCCCTCCCACTCGACAGACGTTTAAGGGGGTCTTATACTCGGAAAGGAAGAATGCTATATCCTCGGAATCATCGCTCAGTGCAGCGATCCATCGACTTGCGGTGGAGCTTAATCAAAGCGACCAAATCGCTCGCACGATAGAATGCGAGATATGAAGGTCTTCTGGATGCGCGCAGCTCCCTGTGGTCCTGTGAAAACCCCACTATTTGCCGGATCACCACTGCATAAATACTTTTCGGAGTACTAATGAGTAGCTGTGACAATCACCGATAGCTATTCGCCTATACACTTCCCGCTTCACAATGCATTCACGTTCTGAAAACTGCGATATGCGTATTTCATGCCATTAAGTTAATAGCTGCTCTTCAAGTGGCGGTAATGGTAAGCGCCGATTCTGCCGTCAGCGCTCTTCTTAGGCTGAGTTCGGGAGGGCAAGGGAGTCGGTATCCTGGTGAGAGGCACAGTCAGACCGCCGGCCCTTCTGCGACTTCACCCGTGCCTTGTCACGTTGTTAATGTGAGATCTTTTGTAGGTAAGTGCCCAATTCTAGGTTTTCAGGGTTATGTAGCACCGCACAAACAATACCTTTGACCACCTACGCATAAGCTCTTACCTCTCTTCCTACAAGACCAGCATGATGCATGAGCTTTTTTGGGATACATCCCACATTAGCACATGTTCCTCCAATACCCCACGTCGTTCCATGGGGGCTCGGCATAACGCCATCAACCAAAGCTACTCGCGCTCCATATTCTCGCCTGAAAACTTTTACTAAGCTTGTGGAGACGAAACCATGTCCATTTCTCATGATTGCGTGAAACTTACGCTGCTTTGGAACAAGACAAACCACCAGAACCACCACCGATGACAACGAGGTCATAGTCAAGAGCAGAGGAGGCTGAAAATCATTTCCTTGAATGAGGCGACTCGAAAATCCCCACAAACTATTACACACCTGCACGCTTTCCCACCAAGAATACTTGTCTAGGCAATAACCAGCGTTGCATCACCAGCACCAGATCAAGTTCTGAATACGGGGTCTACTTTGTGCACGACATCTTACAGGTACAGGCTGAGGACTTTTTTTAAGACTAATTCTGATAAATATCCATTTCAGGGGGCGGGTCAAGAGATCCATGTTGCGCGGCACGACGTCTTACTCAGCATCGCGTAGTGGGGAATGCACTGCCAGTCACAGAGGGAATGAATCATTAGTTCGCGAGGCATCTCTCAACTGAAATTCCTTCCTGCGGGAATCCCCAGGCATTTTCTTGCTGCATCTCTTGGTGGAGCGTTTTTATGGAGCCCGAGAGAGTGAGAGAGTGAGTGAGGTGATGTGAGAGAGAGAAGAGAGAGAGAGAGAGAGAGAGAGTTAGATAGATCCGTCTCACATGTGCTAGACATCCCCTTCCCATCCCCATCCGCCCGACAGCAAAATTTTGGGGAAAACTAGAAAAAGCGACAGGAAGTTGGGAAAAACTAGGAGCGTGGTAGGTAGGATAGGGGGGAGGGGTAGGGTAACGGTCGTGTAAGAAATAAGACAGTAACGGCTATAATGGGAGGAGGGGAGGAGAGGGGGTCGTATTACCGAAAACTTTCCCCGGCGACGGGACCTGCTCTGATCATCATGCCGCTGCGAGCGAGTGGCGTAGCTTCCGCGTGTTCCCACAAATATTAGGTTGTCCGGAAAGTTCTCAGCGTTTTGTGCACCTATTTTTTGTACATTCACTGCTGATTAAAAACTCATTCTGCCTTGCTTCTCAGTAGCACATCCTGTAGAGAATTTCTTGCGCTATCTGATGGTATAATTGCCGTTTCACCATTGCTTGATAAACTGTGCGGCAATGGCTCAACAAATTTCGTTCTGGAGATTTCAGCCTTGAAGATGAACCTCATAGCGGTCGACCTAAAGCAATATCTGACGAGGA